CAGACTTGGAGTGGGACGAGAGAGGTGTTTGTAAGAGGTACCTGCACAGGCTTGATGTTGGACAGACAGGGCTTCAGGGCATTGCTGATCCAGCGGTACAGCTCCACAGCCAGACTCTTGGCCTCCTCCCGGACCGACTTGTCGCTATGCTCCAGCAGCTTGGGGAAGGCCTTGACCACCGGCTTGAGGGCGATCACCTTGGAGCCAAAGTCCCGGATGGCCTCGCGGATCAGCTGGCAGCAGGCCGTCACGATCTTGGGCTGTTTGTTGGTGAAGCCTTTGAGCAGCTCCTCCTGTAGTGGAAAGGGTCGAGTTGGACCTTTTGAATTAGATGCAGGCAATGGCATACGAGTGACAGTTATTTTACTCTTTACAACAGTGGACCTGCTCTTATGACTGATGTGCTGAAGCCTTACAAGAAAAGGTGAGTTAGGTAGGCTTGCGGTTGCACCATGTATAAGAAAATATCTCTTTTGTGAGTGTGTGGTTCTAAGGAAAACCGATGGTGGACACTCAACGTTCCGAACAGTATGAACACAGCATACTGTTCGGAACGTCAAGTGTCCAACATCAGATCTTCTTAAAACCACACACTCATAAAAGACATATTTTCTTGTAGACGGTGCAACTGCAAGCCTACCTTACTTAGTACTTCCACCGTGCATAGCTTCAACTTTTATCTAAGAAAAGGAGAAAAACTAGCTCTCTACATCAAATTTCCCATTCCTAATTGTTCAGTTCATGGACAAAAAGCGCTTAACACAATGAGACTGAATCAAACAGCAAACCATGGCAATTTGCCGCAACCCTGTACTTTTCTTCATGCCAGACCCTGACAATTGAGCCTCTGTGCAGGGACATAAATGCAGTCTGTTGAACTGTTCAGAGTTAAAAGCAGCTGCTTCTAACAGGAACCAAACAGGAACCATACAGGAGCCCCGGAACAACATCACTGCACATCTAGGCATACCGAATCTCTGGCAGTGCCTCCCACCATTGCAACGGGGGTTGGAAATAGTAAGCATAGCAGAGAGATACTGCTTTCTTCAGAGACAAAATTTAACTCAAAATGGAAGCTGAATTTGCAAATGCTATCAGACGATTGCGCTTAGAATAGGAGCAGGTTTGCTTATAATGTGGCCAATTTGCTTAAAACGGGGCCGGTTTGACTTATAAATGACAAAACAGAAGCAGGCAACAGTGTCTTCATGCCTCAGCGGAGCATATCCAATACTCTGCTGCACAGTGTAGTTAGTGCAGCTTTCTCAAGTACACTGTTCAGACTTACACAGGGTTCCCACAGAAATCTGAAAACCAAATTCCATGACGTTTTCCAGATTTTCCAGGACAGTAAATATGACGATTTTCTGACATTCAATGTCATTTTCCAATCCAGAGAAACGGTATTTGGCATTACGAGCTGGAAGACTGCCACAGCCATTATTACAACCTGACAAGGAAAGTCTGTAAATTTAAATTATTCCATTACTGCATAAAAAGCAGCCTGTCAAAACTAAACCTTATGCTATCTTGATTTCCCTGACTTTCAAATGACTCTTCCACAACTTTCCAGGATTTTTCCCGGGATTTTCCAGGATCTTCTATGACCACGGGAGCCCTGCTAAAACACAAAAAAACAGGTCTTTGGTTTTTCTGTCCATCCTATCTCGACCCACAACCCACCATGACTACTTCCTGCTTCTCCAGTTCAATGTACACCATGATGATCTCCGATGCTTTCTCTCGGGTCTTCGTCCTCGAGGAGTTGAGGCACTTAAGCACCACCGCCGAAACCACCTCTCCGCACGTCCTGTGAAGGCAGAGGGCAGAGCTTTCATAGTAGCATGGCAAGGGAAAATACAACAGCGACCTTGGCTAGTTGGCAGTGTTGTAGTCACGTACTTTTCAACCACCAAGGTTCTCATCCAAATATTAAACTAGTGACGGGGTTATAAGCTGCAGTACATGTAAATAGGCATCGATGGTGAATGCACAAACGAATGATTGCCAAATAAATTTAAGACTTCAGACACTCTCCATTTTGTAAAATTTAAGTTTCAATGAGAAAAGTAATCAGCTGTGTATTTTTTCATAGACCCCTAAGTTTTGATTAACAGTGAAGTCTGAAGCCATCATTCCACCTTATAATCTTACCTTTTGTGCGCATACTATCGAAAGCCCATGTTTTCCTCAGCTTTTCCCCTCCCAACTAGTTCAATATGTGAGAGGGAACTTGGTACCCAAAAAGTACTTGACCTCAACACTGATTAGTGGGCAGGTAAAACCCTGTTTGTAAGCAATATTGTTATTTTTTTCTGACTCGTGAAAATTATCGAACATTCTAACCACATAAAAATCTAACTGGAGCAAATCTCTCACTCAAATGGGCAAAAGCTGTTAAGTGCATTACTGAAATTTAGCAAAACTGTAACTATTTGCCATTTTCACAAACAGCTTGTCTTAATCTTCCGAAATCTCCCACTGTGCAGGGATTCAATGGAACACTGAATGCTTTGAATGGTCATGCAAATGTTGATAAAAAAAAGTGGATGACCTCCACGAGGTTATTAATACCCACCAGGTTCTTGTCCAGCATATGAATATAAGGCCATAAAAACCTAAAATATACCTTGACCCCAACTGCCCCAAGTCCCTCAAACTCCAACCATATTTTGTCAACTTTTAGCCGGTTCACTGCCAGAAATAAAGAATTTGTTGTTCAACTTTGTTGGATTGAGGAGCAAAGGCCTAGGGTGATGGTGTTGGAATTTGTTTGAGTAGGGACACAGAGTGGTCGCTCCATGGAGTGACCGGCTAGTGGTACCATGTACTGGACTGTGCTTGATTTTGTAAACTTTAGTACGACCACTCTGCGGGTCACCTGTATTCTGGCGAGACCTATCCACACCAAATGACTCAACCTGCAACACTGTAGATGTGCTTGAGTTTACCAGATTCTGTCCAGTCATGTGCCCGAAATTATAGTGACCCCCATGCAGACACGAGCTGTATCTGTTGAATTTTGTTAGGTTCAATACTGTATCTAGTACAAAAGCCTAGGGGGTTACGGTTAATGAGGCCTGGAGTTGATCTAACATTTCAAATGGAGAAAGCCTCAAATCAGGCTCCAGCCTGAAACCGGCCTCCTGGTAGGGAGCTCAATATACCGGTACTAGATCTGCCGGCCTGTTTGTTTCACACATATTTGGATCGTGATCAGTGATCTGACATTGGTTCACCGACACCAGAACCTGCCTAATGGATAGAGTGAACCAGCTTTGGGATCACTGACTGTGATCCAGATCCACGTGAAACCAACAGGCCCCAGATATTGCACATAGCCAGGCCGTTTCACCAGGGAGAGGAACACGCGAGCGCGGAAGCCCACTGGCTCGTCCCTTACCTTGGTGCCAGGGCCGCCGTCTCCAGAAACGCCAGCACGGCGTCCAAGCCCTTCTCCTGGGCCACCGCGTTGGCGTCCGTCACAAATTTCTTGAGCAGGCCGGCGTACTTGGAAAACTCGGGGCTCTTCTCGTCTGTGATACGGTTGAAGACTTTGACTGCCTCCTCGTAACCGTGCAACCGGGCTTTCCATACCTAGCAGTCAGCAAAGGAGTTCACTGACATATCATGTTACTCTTGATACAGTGTGCGTGACCTTTCTGAGCATAACAAACCACAAGACTGCCTCTGGGCTAAATTAGCACTGTTAGTTCATTTCAAAATTCAAATCAACGCCTTCTCCCAATTCTGCAGTCTTTGAGATATTAAAGGTCCCTTTTTTTCTCACTGTGGATCAAATGCACGTCTGAAGTCACTTTCACAGTAGCAGCCATACAATGTACATGTACGTGCACTCATCATGAACTACAAAACAATGAGCCTCCAGCTGGACCAAAAGAGGGAGCAATTTCCTTGGCAACCAAGGCTCCTTTGGTTGGAACTGTACTTCACTGGTACAGAAACAACTATGATATGCACACGTTACAGTGATATCACTACCAACAAAATGAAGGCTCCCGACTGCCAGCTAGGCTCTTTTCAACCGATAAGGGGACGCTTCTGCTCAAGGCGGATAACAGATGCCCATAAAATTGATGGAATGTTTCACCCTCACGAGCACTCTCTGTGATGCTACAAAGGGCATGGTGAAAGATATCGTATTAGCGGTCAATTAGAAAGACCAACAAAGGCCTGGGGTGATGGTGTTGGATTTTGTTTGAGTGGGGGCACAGAGTGCACCTGAGGTCAGTGTGCACTCCCAATGCATAATCTGTGTACTGCACATGTGTAGCCAGGGAACATGTCTATATTCATTAATAACTTAACACACTGGGCTTGGTGCGACCAGCTGGGATAAGGGAGTGGACATGTTATCCACCCTGGGCAGTAGTGACTGCACTGCCTGTGCAAATGCATTAACCCTAACCCACAAGGAGTATTTGCCAAGGACCCTGCTAAATGCACCAGAATGTACATGTACCAAACCCCCAATGGGTACCCTGCTAAATGCACCAGTAAGCACTGGTGCATATTGGTGCATTGTGCAGTGAACAAATTTATGTCACTCTCGGTACCTCTAGCTACCCTGCTAAATGCACCGGATTGCACCAGTGCATTCTGGTGCACTAGTTTCTAGGGCGTAAACACCAAGCCTGCTAAATGAACCAGAATGCATACCACCAGAAGACTTGCGTTGCCTGCTAAATGCACCAACTTTTTACCTCTGGTGCATTCTGGTGCATTTAGCAGGGTTAGGGTTAATGCCAAGGTAGCACAGTGAACATATACATGTTTGTTTGTAGAGACTACACCAGTCAATCGGAATTCATGAGGCGCTTACTCACACGCAGGTCATATAGTATTTGCCCATTATATATACACACGTACAAATGTACATGTACATTCATGCCTTTTCAACTTGTGCAAGTATGGTGACTAGTGCCAAAATGCATGCGCATCTTGTATGGTGAAACTGGAGTACCGTCCACTCAAAATAAAGAACACCGTCAGAACAAAATACTGTTAGAAACAGTAAATTTGCAAATGCCAGATTTCTTGAATTTCAGTGTTCTGTTTTTCTACCCCTTTAATTATAAAGTCCTGGTTACAATCAAGAAATTTGTCTGGTCCCCCGCAACTTTGTTGTGATGGGAATGGAATGAACATGTAATGGCACCACCATGGCTTAACTGACAAGAACTTGGGAAAAACACTGTGAGGCCTGCACGTCGGAGGCTGCAGTTTACCTTGTGGACGCACTGTTCTTCCACCGGTAACTTCAGATATTCCGTGTCATCCGCCATCTTGGAGGTCAGAGGTCATTCGTCCAGTTACTCTTTTTCAATCTTGAATCAATGTACATATAAGTGGTCTGCAAGAAAGGAATGAGGGAAAGAAAAGGTTAAAACTGTCCAAAAGTTACAGAGGAAATGTACAAACTGACAAGGATTGCTTTCAAAACAGCAAGAAAGACCGACAAGCTACAGATCAAAATCTGTGTAAATGACATGATATGAAATGACTGACACTGTGGAATGCACCAATTTCCATGGCATTATTCACGTCGCTTCAGACGAATAAGGATGAATCTTTATGGAGTGCGTAATAGGCCCCCATTTCTTGAACGTTCCTGACAACTGTTTCTATCTTGTCAAAGGCAGCGTCCCTAAAACACCTAGAAAGGATGCCCGCTCACATAAATCGGGGGAATGATGTTTAAAAGGAATGAACGAAAGGAGCCACAGCAGCTTTGAAATTGGGCGGATTCCAGAAAAAAAAAAGAAAACTGCCTGTCAATTCTTTGGTCCATTTTTTCTTCCACTGTTTGTTCAAACCACACGGAGGCACACATCAGGTTTCACTTCAAAGGACCCGTTAATGCTCCAGTAACTCTGAACGACTCCATAATCATAAAGCCCCCCTGACCTTACACTATGAGTAACAAATGTGTTAAGCAAGCAGAACTGATGGCGCTGATAAAAAACAAGCGAAGAAACAAACCTATGCCGCAAGAAAGCTGATATACATGTCTATATCAACACAAGGAAATCGTTACAGATAGACTCCAAATTACATCTACATAAACTGCATCCTCTTGTGCTGTGACCTTGCTTCGCACATGTGAACATTTCACACTATTCTCAATCCTGTTGAGTACTCTGTGCAATTGTCTGCCATCTGTGGTTCTCCCCTGCACTGCATGCTACCTATGGTAACTTGCAATGTCTTTGGCATTAATTACCATGGAGGTGGATGAGTCATACCTGTCAACCTACAGCGCATACCCTGTGAGACACTGCACCGATTCCGTGCCTCTGCACAGAATTTGCACTGAACACTTGTAATGTACATGAACACATTATGTACGTACATGTACATTACCTACTAAAGTACAGCATGCCAAGTGCACACTGGTAGTGCATGTACACTGTACATACATGTACATGTACATGTATGTAGTCCACAGAACATGTATCAACAGATGTACCAGTAAAGTGTACCATGTACAGGGTGCATTTTCCATACAACTGAAGACATACAAATACACAGTGATATCGATAGATACTGGTACTAACTTTCACACTGAAGACATTTACTGCCAAAGCTTTAGGTCTAAGGATAATCCGATTAGAAAAGGTGATAAAAATAATACACAAACCAGGTAAAATATGGATCCCTACAACTACAAGATACATGTACATGTGTGTTATAACTGCATTCACTTTCGCTTTCACATTGCTTTTTACATATGCTAAAAAATATGCTATAAAAATGCACTGCATGCCCTAATATGTGAATTACCCATTTTTCAAACATTCCCAGCATGGCAGCTTTGGAAAACTGTACATGACCAATTTCACCGCACATCATTCCAGACATATGGTGCCAGTGCATTACATGTACCGGTACATGAACATGTACATGTACATAATATATTTCTCAGAAGGAAGCAATGCTGGGGGGGGGGGAAAATGAAAACCACTTCAGAGCCCAAGTCAGCCACCATTCTCAGGGTCACAGTGAACTGGGTACAGGCAGGAGACATTTTGAGATCTATCTTTTCAACTTGTTCTTTATTGGTGTAATAATGATACTGTAGAATGTACCATGTAAACTGCACAGTCTCGTTACTTTTGGGCCTACCACTACCACTGAAATAATTGCAAGTTTGGTTGAAGANTGCAATCGTCGCTGGTAAAGCAGTCCTTACATCTGACGCAGTCTTGACATTCGTGACAATTGCGACATTCTTTACAACCGATGCATTTGCGTAAACTTTTTGAATTAAAACAACGAGAGCAATCATAAGAATCTATCAAGTCAACCGAATTACTCGTGTCTTTGCAAAAATAACAATTCACGTTTGTAGTTTGATCTACCATTTATTTTTATGTATTTTTATTATTGTTTGTTTTTTTCGTTTTTATAACGGGCAAGTCGAGACTTGTTCGCAAGGGGAAATCCCTTTTTGTTTGCGAGTGAGTGCTGGTGCAGGTCGGTGCCAGTCACGAGTTGTTTACAACCGGGGTCAAAAGTTCAAGGTCAGTGAAGTGGAAATCCCCGGCGCTAGTCACGAGTTGTTTAGCCAGCGAGCGAGCGAGCGGTGCTGGGGTCAAAAGGTGAGCGGAAATCCCCGAGATTTTTGGGTCGATGTACTACCGAAGGGTTTTGATCAAAAACTGGGGTTCACGACAATTCTGGCATTTTCTCATTTTTTCCCATTTAAATGGTTTTGAGGGTTTTTTGGGTCGTATAGGTACCCAAGGGTTTTGAGCAAAAACCGGGCAAAAAGGGGCGTGTGCTCCAGAACTCTCATTTTTATACTACTACTCGTATTCCACCTTTCCTACCCGGTTTCCGTGCCTTCAGTCCCACTGGTAAAATCTTCCAGAATGTTAGGTTTAGGTGTGGGAATTGTAACCTTCGACGCTCCATACTTTATCCCTTTTTAGTGACTTTGGACATGCCATCCTACGGTCGTAAAGTTTGCGATGCAATGTATAACGTTTTAGCGGGCCGCCGTCCATGTGATCGATTGCCAGCATCAACATACAGACTTTCTGTCCATTTCGCTCTGATCTATTCCCAGAAAATGATATCTATATAAACGAATAAGTACATTCTAGATTTGCTGTTTTTGACCATCCATTATATGCTGAAGTAAATAAGATTTTTTGAGGTCTGTCTTCGATAAACGGCACAGTGGTAAGCGTGTATTACTTTGGTTCATGTATCGCATATACGGCCTACATGTACTTGTAGTCTTACCGTTACGTGTACTGTACACTACATTTTTCTAGCTAGTTTTATAAACACTGAATGTGACAATGTTAGCTGCGTGATAAACTTTCAGATGTTTGTTGTATCGCAACTTAACTCATCTAATCATCTTATTACTTGAATATTATGCATGTGAGTACAAATTATTAATACATGTAAATGCAGTTTGGACGGAAATAGTAAGGATTAGTCCCCGAGTTTGACAACATCTTCAGGTTTGCAATTTGGACCAGTCACATGTATCTTCACATGACATGTACTAGGGCTTACCAATTGTTGTGTTGATGTGTTTTTTGACATGGTTATTTTCTGTATTTGTTACGGCATTCGAAGTGAAAACTTCTGCTTTGGACCAGAGGTCAGAAGTAAATAAAACTTGAAAGACATGCCAGTACAAGAATGCGTTGAATGTAATTCCATCAATTGTCGGAGACAGGCACAGGAATAGCTGCAGGGGACCTGCATAAGTTTAGCAGTTCTCGTACACAATTGGTGCGTTCGATTAACTTACACGTGTAAGTCAAACTTACACGGGAGCGTTCGTTTAGCCGTCATGTGATCTTCGTGCCTGCCCTGGTGTCAGCCACCACTACCCCAGCTGGCAAGCGGGTCTCTGGAGGCTGCCCGAGTGTAATGACGTCACGGACGGACTGTTAAGCATGGGCATGAATGGAACTACTATGGCGGTGAACTTGAAGTTAAGCACGTAAGTACAGAACCCAGTTAGTGAGATATCTTATTTTGCGGAAATTGTATTAATATCAGACAACACCCCAGCAGTTTTGCACAGAATCACCGCTTACGGAGATATAAGTTGTCATGGTCATTCTGCCTATTTCCAAACAAAAAAGGGAAATGTTTCTCAGTCCGATACAGATGTAGGCCCTAGGCCCTGCCCTATGCCTAAAGCTCGACCCAGGCTGTATAGGTCCTACATCTCTATCTGTATAGTCGGTAAAACACCTAGAGGGCACATCATGAATGTACACTTAAACAGGGCCTGGCGTAGGCTTATAATTACAAGCCTACAGGCCTACTCCTTCGTCTCCCTCAAAGGCTCTGTTTACGGGTCTAATCCATTGAGGTAGGCCAGACCTAGTAACATTACTTAGGCCTAGGCTAGGCCTACTCTGATTCTAATATTTTATGGTTTCGTACGCTATGGCATTTGAAATTGCCCTGCAACATGCAATTAGGCCTAACACTGAAAACCTCCGCTAACTCTTTCTTGATTAAATCTTCCCTAAAATGCTGGTCATTATAGGCTGATAGGTAACGTGTATGGCCAATATGCATGAAACTGGTAGTACCAGGTGCGTACATTTTGTAGAGTGTAACCTGGCCTGTACATGTACATTATTAGGGCCAATGATTTTCCGCGATCGCGGAAAACGGACGGAATTCGCGGAATCCTGTCCTCGAAACAGAAAACGAAGTTTGAATCAAGAAAAAAAAATTCCGCAATTTTATTGCTAAAAATCCTTTTCAGCCAATTTCTTCACCAACAAATGTAATTGACTGGGCAGGCAAACCATATACCATACGATTTTTGTGCATATGTGTAAGGTCACAATACTGGCCAACTTTCATGATGCAAAAAACGAACTTTAATTTATCCGATGATGTAACCATTTTCAAGCTATGTTTGCTAGAGATTATAGCTGTACATGTATTTGAGAGATAAAGATAAATAATTCAGTGTAAATGCGAGTCTATAATTTTTATTCACGTAAAAGAGCAAAAAGTTCAAAATGGCGCCCAAAATGGGACATTGATTGAACAAAATTTAATGAACTCAACTACTTTACTTATAGCTCACGTATTTTATCACGATGGTCATATTTTTGAGTAAAGCAATGAAGTAATATTTTGGCCCTTTACAAAAAAAAAATAGATAAATCCACGCTCCAAAATGGCAGCTGATTATGCGTTAACGTTCGTTTCACATCGTGTCCACCACACCATACCATGACGAAAAGGGCCAGAATCATCGTTTACAAGCCTCACCCTTACCTGTAAAAGCCATTTTTATTCGAAATGAGCTTAATAAACATCGTGTAAAATGTGTGCTAGACCATAATTACCCTCGAGGATGAGAAAACATCAACACATCGATCGCTAAATTTTCGTGTCCACTTGGTAACTAACGTAAAATGTCCACATATTTTAACTGGTGATCAACGCAGTCTGACTAGTGGTCGTACACGTGCAATGGTGTACCCTGCATGGATGACCTAAAGGTCAATTGTTTTAGGCTCGATTACGTCTTTTCCGAGATAAAGCTATTTTAAGCACCGTGTCCACCGCGCGCCGCTTTCGCGCCTCTTTGTAACGAACGGAGGAAGTTGCTGCGCGCGACAGCTTTCCCTCCAACAATCAGGGAAAGAGCAGCCAATATCCGGAAAACGAGCAGCCAAAAGGTTTGTATCAACTTAAATAGATTTAATTTTCTGTATTTTTTTGTGAAAAGAGGTCAGATGGCATTGTAAAAGGGAAGATTTA